TTGGAACTCAAAAAGTTGCGTTTTTGGTTCTATGGACTTCAATGGAAACGCTGCAGAAAAGCATGTAGTGCATTTTTTTGCCACATTTTTGATAATTTTTTAATGTGTTTTGCATTTAAAAAACGCAACACAAAACGCAGTGCAGAATCGGGTCAAATGCAGACTGAATAGGTGTGAACCTAGCCTTAATGGGACGCAGAGAGGCCACATGGGACTGGGGTAGCAAATAGTTATAATACCAGAAAATTCCCCATAACACAGATGTGGGGACAGAAGCTAATCAGCGGAAAGTTTTTTTTTGTACAGTATCATTTCAATTCAAAATGTTTAATGGCATCATCCACACAGAGAAATTAAGCACTTTTTTCGGCCCCCAAAATTCAAACTGAGCTTATTATCTGTGACATAAGCTCCCCATGGCACAAAGTAATCTCAATGCTGCCAAGCTGTGGTAACATAGAAAATGATATAATCAGAATTTCTTATAAAGCTCCATCAGACACTTTTGAGGTGTTCTCCATTGTAGTAACAGATTGTGATAATAATAGTGAGCTACAATCTGTATTATTAATGATCTGATTCAGCAGCTCCCCTCCTGGTCTCATCCAGCACCATGAAGTATTAAACTAAAATAAAAATGAAAGAAACAAGCCCCTTTCACTGCTCAAGTTCCTATGAATCCTTATGTGGACACCATAGCATTCACACAATGGGGCTGATTTATTAAAACTGAAGAGTGCAAAATCTGTGCATAGAAACCGATCAGCTTCTAAGCCCTGGTTCACATGGGTGTGACTTGTCATGTGAACTGACCATTCCAAATCACATGAGAAGTTGCATCATATTGTCGTCAATGGAATCATTCAAATCAGTGTGACCCAGACATTGTGAAGCCACATCAATTGAAAAAAAAGGTTCCTGCACTATTTTTGGAAATTTCAGGTGCAACTTGCATAGACATCTGTGTAAGAATTCGCACAGATATCAGGCAAGTCACATATGAAATTGCACTGATCTGCAGCTTTGAAATCGTGTGACTTCAAGTCAGATTCAGTGTGAACCAAGTCTAAGTTTTATTGTCAAAGCTTAATTGAATGAGCTGAAGTCAGAAGCTGATTGGCCACCATGCAGAGCAGCCACAGGTTTTGCACTCTCCAGTTTTAGTAAATCAACTCCACAATGTCCCTTGGTGTTTTTGTAACAAACCTGTCTTAAAATTTCTTGGTTGTGCCAAAACCACACTTGTTCTTATCGTAATGTTACACTTTATTTCTGCAAACAGATTCTTTGCACCTGTGTGCACTGGGATGAAATGGTGAAAACACTCCCCTAACCTGAAAAGCAAATCTTAAAGAATATGTAAACCCAGCATTTCCTATTCCTGAAATGTACCTGCTGTACCATGTACTTGTATGAAAAAGTATACTGTTCTCTTTTTAGTGCTTCCTTTGTGTGAAATCCCTTGTGTTCCTGCCAGTCCCTCTCCTTTCCTGACCACACTGAGCAGAAAAGCACAGCGTAGTCAGTTCTCTAGCTTTGCTGAGAAGAGAGCCTGCTCTCCTCCAATGAACAGATTTGTTCTGACATGCCCACCCCTGCACCACCATTCACTGGGAAGAGCAGTGTGCTGTTGTTTCTCCACTGCTGCAAAAGGCTATGGGATTTATTTGATACATCCATAAGCGCATTAGCACCCCCTTCTTTTCACTGTACATTTTTGCATTACTTTCTAGGACAATTAAAGTGGTAGGATTTTTATTTTTACCTACAGGCAAGTTTATAAAAAAGCTTACCTGTAGGTAAAAATAATATCTTCTAAATGTGCACCATTTAGGAAATATTTGCTCCTTTTGACAGCCAGGACATGCACTTTGAAGGAACGGCATAGCTGTGCCATTCCTTCAGAGCACTGTGCTATGGCTCGGGACTCCCATGTGCATGCGCCAGAGTGACGTCATCGTGGCTCGGCCAGTCAGACAGCCAGAGCTTGCAAACCCAAAAGGAAGACAGGGTGAAGATGGAAGCCACTGCAGTGGTGACTGCATGGAGGGCTTCGTTTTAACATAGGGCCTTTATAATGTGCTACTATGCAATCCACACTAGCACATTATGACATTACCTTTTTTTTTTTACTACCACTTTAACGTGTATATAAACACTACCAAAATTGATAAAAACTTTAGCAACTAAATGCTGTTCAAATAGCACATCCCCAGAACTTCCATTTTAAAAAGAGTTGATTTATCAAATAATTTAGTTAAATAGTGATTTAAGCCCCATATCTTATCACCTAATCAAGGCCTTTCACACAATTGCAAAAATGCCACATTTGTACTGTAGCTGTGTAGTGTTTTTTACAGATCTGAACGCAGGTGAATTGTTGGAAAAGGAACAATGCCACACAGCTGCGCAAAGATCAGTAATGCAGCGATGCTTTCAGAGCTAGAAAAAAGAAATAGAAAATTATGTATTGGTGCAGTAATTTACACATATATGTGTGTATAAATCAAAACACTGTATGTATAAATCAAACACATCAATCTGTGTATATAAATCATATACATCAATCAAAACACTGGCAGCTAGAAGGGGATGAAGAAGAAAAATGTATGTGTGTATACCTGTCTGCATGTTTATGTACATGTGTATACGTGAGGTCTTTACCAAGGCCTCTGCCAGCAAGATCTGCATATGTATATCAGTAAATTACTATCATGTTTACATACACATATGCATTTGCTTTATTTCTCTATCATGTATACTCAACATATATAATATATATACTGTATATACAGTGTATATATATATATATAGAGAGAGAGAGAGAGAGATTATATATGATAGAGAAAGAATTGATCAACACTGTATATCATAAGATGTACAGGGCTATACCACCAAACATATAAATAGATAAAACCGTAGAACGAAGTACCACCCAGAACACTATTTCACGCTTTCAAATATTTGCAACTCATGTTTAATTAGGGCCATTTACATTTGTGGTCGGGAATGGTAAAAACATGCAGTTGAGCTGCATTTTAACTCCCCCAAAATGCCCCCCCAGCTGCAAAGGCAGCAGATTTATTTTTTCTTTTATTACAGGTACTGATATAGCGCCGTCAATTTACTCAGTGCTTTACATATATATGTATTGTACATCAGTCCCTAACCCTCAAGGAGCGTACAATCTAAAGTCCCTAACTCACATTCATACATATACATACTAGGGGCAATTTAGAGAGGAGCCAGTTAACCTACCAGCATGTCTTTGGAGTGTGGGAGGAAACCAGAGCACCCGGAGGAAACCGATGCAGGCACAGGGAGAACATGAAAACTCCAGGCAGGTGGTGCTGTGGTTGGGATGGGGATAAATAGTGCCACGCAGTATTTACACATAATTTTAAGCTCAGTCACATGTGGGAACACATAGAGTGTCAACAACAGTAAATAATTTCACACATTATTGTAGGATCGTAAGAATGGTCGTTTGGGGTTTGTCAGTGGATGGGGTGTACACATGCCGTAGCCATGATTCTTTGTTTCCCAGCTGCGGAAAGAATTAAACCCCCTGCAGGTAGTATCATCCGTGGAACACAACCCATTCAAGTGACTAGGGCTTCACCACAACCACCCCTCACAATGATGCAGGTTTTTAGGGATTGAAACAGGCAATGAGGGGGCAACATGACTTTCTCTCACTGCCTGTCAAACACCTTGTGAAAAGTGATTGACTGTGGACCACTCTTCAGAGGGCTAATGTAAGTGTAAATGAGCCCTTAGGGTTGCACTGCACACAGCACAAATCTCCGACATTAGCGCAATGTACAGTGCAACGGCACACTGAGGTTGATTTACTAAAGGATTAGTGACTGTTAACTTAGCCAAACGAGTAGTTCATTGAGTTCATATAATAAGGTAAAGCTGCGTTTACTTCAACCGATACTGTGCTAGCAAAAATCAATTTTTCAAAGATATACCCACAAATGATTGGGTATTTAGAGTGAACACAGGTTCCCTTTATTTACTAACATCCACCTTGCTAAGGAAACAGACAGTACTGTTTAGTAAATCAACCCCATTGTATCTGTGTCAGAGCCGTGTATAGCTATGTGCCGAGCTCATCAGTGAATTCTTTCCTTTTCCCTCTTCCCATACCTGCCTCTTACCTTCTTCAGGTGTCTGTCCTTTTCTGGGAACCATGTTTCCCCAAGGATCAGTATTTTCTGTTGACTGTCCCCGTACAATCCAGGTGTCCTCCTCCTCGGTGACTCTCTTTAGACAGACAGGAAGGTCCCAGGATACACGTCTGTGATCACATTTCCACTGACTTCACACCTGTCTGACGGGTCTTTCTGGCTCTGATGTACTGGCTGCCTCCCCACCCCTCCTCTGTGTGCACTACAGGCAGGCTACTGCTGCCATCTACAAGGTGCATTACATACAACTCTAGTGACATACACAAACCACAGTATGGGACACACCACATCCAACACAAATAACACTCAGCCTAAGAAAGACAAAACTCAGGAGAAGTATTACTATGGGGTTGATTTAAGAAGGTATCGGTCACATCAGTGTGTTATGGAAACACATGCAAAATCTCACTCTTTCCCACAACACACAAAAATGCATTGCCCCCAGTTTGGTGAGACGCATTTTTAAAAAATATTGCAAACACCCTATTTACACATTTCTCTTACAAGCCCATTGTGCAGGAACATGAGGAATTGGGCAAAAAGAAATGCACACTCAGTTGTACCTCTTTGGTGTGAACACAGCCTAAAAGAATATAGTCTATTCACTTAGTAGAGTGTTCATGAGCAGGGGCAGACTGACCTTTTGGAAACTCGGTGCAGGGATCTCATCCAATGCGCTATGTTAATCTGACAGCAGGGACTCCCCCTCCTGTCAGGGGCGGACTGACCATTTGGAATCTCGGGCACTGCCCGAGGGCCCGGGGTCAGTAGGGGGCCCCATGAGATGCCCCTGGTACCTTTTTGATAGGCTTTTTTGAGTTTGGGCAAGGACACAGGGGCCCCATGATCCCCTATTGCCCGGGGGCCCCATGAGTTGTCAGTCCGCCACTGTTCATGAGCTTAGTATATGAGCTGGAACTGTATCTAGAAACACAGAAGAGTGATGGCAGAAAAAGACCAAGTAGTCCATCAAGTCTGCCCCATATGGTGCTTTTTTTTTTAGCATGAACGCGGGGGAATGTAGTTCCAGCACCTCCAGCACTGAATGTATGTAATGGCAAGGGGTTCTGGGGTGTGCTGGAGGATCTATTGATGCTGGCTGCTGGTGGATCTATTGTTGATGGAGGAGATCTATTCTTGCAGGGAGGCCTAGTGTTACTGCTGGGGGATATATTTTTGTAGGGAGGTATGTTGTTTCTGGTGGGGGATCTGTTGTGTTTCTGTTGATGGGTCGTACGTTGCTGGGGGGTCAATTGCTACTAGGAAAGATCTACCGTTGAGGGAGGGGTCTATTGATGCTGGTTTCAGGGAGATCAGTTGTTGCTAACGGGGCTCTATTGTTGCTGAGGGATATTTTTTGCAGGCAATCCATTGAGGCTGAAGAGATCTATTGTCACTGGGGGGGTTGTTGTTGCTGTCTGCAGGAAATCTCCTTCCCTTCTTTTCCTTCCATCAATTAACAATTTCTATAGAGATCATAGAGAAAAAGAGTGACTCGGAAAGGGCGAATTCCAGCACGTATTCTCTGATAAAAAAACCCCTGTATATAGTATATATTTTTTTTATTATTATTATACAGGATTTATATAGCGCCAGCAGTTTGCTCAGCGCTTTACAATATAAGGGGAGACAATACAGCAACAATACAGTTCAATACAAGAGGGTTAGGAGGGCCCCGCTCGTTGGAGCTTGGTGGGATGTCTTTTTTTTTCTTTTTTTTTAACCTTTATGGTCTGAGTATAGACCAATGTTTGCCCCAAGCATGCTTGAATCCACTTACTGACTGTCTCACTACCTCTGCTGGAAGTCTATTCCAAGCATCAACTACCCTTTTGGTAAAATTATACTTACTAAGATTAATTATGAACTTCCCTCTTGCTAGGTTGAGGTCATGTCCTCGTGTTATTGATACTGCCCTCTTGAGCCTTATGTCTCCCCTTTCCATTTTTTCCTCCAGACTGTACATATTAACCACTTCATGTCCGGACACTCACCCCCTTCCTGTCCAGGCCAATTTTTTGCTTTCAGTGCTCACATTGTGAATGACAATTACTCAAGCATACAACACTGTATCCAAATGAAATTAATATATAATTTTTTTCAAACAAATAGAACTTTCATTTGGTGGTATTTAATCACCACTGGTGTTTTTATTTTTTGCTCGAAAAATTAAAAAAGACTGAAAATTTTGAAAAAAAAACATGTTTTTCTTAGTTTTTGTACTAAATTTTGCAAATAAATATACTTTCTTCATAAATTTAGACCAAAATCCATTGTGCTACATTTTTTTGGTAGAAATAACCCAAATCAGTGTGTATTATTTAGTCTTTGTGAAAGTTATAGAGTCCACAGACCACGGTATATATATTTGAAAATGTATCAATCCTGATGTATTGACTACCTATATAATTTCTTGGGGCCCTAAAATGCCAGGAGAGTACAAATACCCCCCAAATTACCCCTTTTTGGAACGTAGACAGTCTGAGGTATTTAATGAGAGGCATGGGGAGTTTTTTGAAGTTGTCATTTTTTGCCAATTTGTGAGGGAAATGATGAAAGTAAACCTTTTTTTTTTCCACAAAGTTGTCATTTAACAAGTTCTTTCTCTCACACGGCATAGGCATACTTGCAATTACACCCCACAACACATTCTGCTACTCTTCCTGAGTATGGCGATACCACATGTGTGAAACTTTTTCACAGCCTAGCCACATAGAAGGGCCCCCACATCCAATAAGCACCCTTAGGCGTTCTAGGGGCAAAAAGTACACATCTAATTTCTTGACTGTCTATCTCAGTTTTGAAAGTGCTGGAGCACCAGGACAATTGAATTACCCACAAAATTACCCCATTTTGGAAAGCAAACACCTCAAGGTATGTTTTAAGAGGCATGGGGAGTTCTCTGAAGACTTCATTTTTTGCCACAAGTTTTTGGAAAATGTGAAAAGAAAATGAAAATGTATTTTTTTTTACGCAAAGTTGTCAATCTATGAGATTTTTCTATTACACAGCATAGGCATACTTAAAATTACACCTCAAAAAGCATTCTTTAACTCCTGCTGAATATGGCAATACCAAATGTGTGAGACTTTTTCACAGGCTGGCCACATAGGGGGGCTCCACATCCAATAAGCACCTGTTAGCGTTCTAACGGCAAAAATTACACATCTAATTTCTTGACTACCTATTGCCGTATTGGAGGTCCTAGAGCATCAGGACAATGGAATTATAAAACAAAATGACCCCATTTTGGAAAGCAAACACCCCAAGGTATGTTTTAAGAGGCATGGGGAGTCTTCTGAAGACTTCATTTTTTGCCACAAGTTTTTGGAAAATGTGAAAAGAAAATGAAAATGTATTTTTTTTTCTATGCAAAGTTGTCAATCTATGAGATATTTTCTAATACACTGCATAGGCATACTTAAAATTACACCCCAAAACACATTCTCTAACCTTCCTGAATATGTCGATACCAAATGTGTGAGACTTTTTCACAGGCTGGCCACATAGGGGGGCTTCACATCCAATAAGCACCTGTTAGAGTTCTAAGGGCAAAAATTACACATTTAATTTCTTGGGCCACTTGTGTGGTGATCAGGAACACTGCTGGTCCACTGCGGTGATCACGGACACTGCTGGGCCACTTGTGTGGTGATCAGGGCCACTGCTGGGCCACTGCAGCAATCAGGGACACTGCGGTGATCAGGGACACTGCTGGACCACTTGTGTGGCGATCAGGGACACTGCTGGGCCACTTGTGTGGTGACCAGGGACACTGCTTGGCCACTGTGGTGATCATGGACACTGCTGGGCCACTTGCGTGGCAATCAGGGACACTGCTGCGATCAGGGACACTGCTGGGCCACTTGTGTGGTGATCAGGGACACTGCTGGGTCACTTGTGTGGCTATCAGGAACACTGCTGGGTCACTGCGGTGATCAGGGACACTGCTGGGCCACTGTGGCGATCTGGCGATCAGGGACACTGCTGGGCCACTGCGGTGATCAGGGCCACTGCTGGGCCACTTGTGTGGCGATCAGGAACACTGCTGGGTCACTGCGGTGATCAGGGACACTGCTGGGCCACTTGTGCGGCAATCAGGGACACTGCAGCGATCAGGGACACTGCTGGGACACTTGTGTGGCGATCAGGGACACTGCTTGGCCACTGCGGCGATCAGGGACACTGCTGGGCCACTTGTGTGGCGATCAGGAACACTGCTGGGCCACTGCGGTGATCAGGGACACTGCTGGGCCACTGCAGTGATCAGGGACACTGCTGGGCCACTGCGGTGAGCAGGGACACTGCTGGACCACTTGTGTGGCGATCAGGGACACTGCTGGGCCACTGCAGCAATCAGGGACACTGCGGTGATCAGGGACATTGCTGGACCACTTGTGCGGTGATCAGGGACACTGCTTGGCCACTTGTGCGGCAATCAGGGACACTGACTGGCCACTGCGGTGATCAGGGCCACTGCTGGGCCACTTGTGTGGTGACCAGGAACATTGCTGAGCCACTGTGGTGATCAGGGACACTGCAGCGATCAGGGACACTGCTGGGCCACTTGTGTGGCAATCAGAAACACTGCTGGGTCACTATGTGGTGATCAAGGACACTGTGACAATCAGGGACACTGCTGGGCCACTTGTTGGGCGATCAGGGCCACTTTTGGGGCAATCAGGGCCACTTTTGGGCAATCAGGGCCACTTGTGGGCAATCAGGGCCACATGTGGGGCAATCAGGGCCACTTGTGGGCAATCAGGGCCACTTGTGGGCAATCAGGGCCATTTGTGGGGCGATCAGGTGTCACTGAGGTGGAAGGCAGTTTGTTTTATCTACTATCTGCTCCTTCTCCTCTCACAGACAGAACTCCGTGTGAGGAGAAGGAGGCGGAAGCCGCACCATGTGGCTTTTGTTTACACTTAGACTGTGTACTTATTGGACACAGCTGATCACATGGTATAGGACCAATTTCATTGGTCCTGTACCATGTCCCTTGATCCACCGTGTCCGTCGGACTCGGCATTCATTGGGCTCGCGGCAACGCGCTCTAGGAGCTATGCACAAGCCTCAGATGCAGGATGCCGTTCTGAAACGACAAACCTGGTCCTGGAGGTGTCCCATCCCGCTGTTCATAAACAGCGGCCGGGCAGGAAGTGGTTAAAGCACAGCTCCAGTCAAACCTAAAAAAAATAAAAGTCAGCAGCTACAAAAAACTGTAGCTGCTGAGTTTTAAAAAACAGCCACTTACCTGTCCCATGATCCAGCAGGGTACTCACCGAAGCTGATTTCACCAGCAGTCCTCACTCCCTGACACCGGCATCCTAAGTGTGGGCACCCAGCTGTGACATCTTTCGGCTTCACAGCCGGGTGCCCACTCCACATGTGCAAGTAGCTCTGCACCTTGTGAATGGTCCTGTAGTCTTATGGGACCTGTCACAAGTCTTAGAAGACTATGGGAGAGGGAGGATAACTTCTGCTTCCAATTGCCTAGCCAGCTGCAGTAGAAGTGGGAGCAGGTACCTGTCAAAAAGGTGCCAATTCTTCACGGGGAGCCAGGGACCAGTACTTAAAGCTGAACTTCTTCTTTTGCGTGGAGCTCCGCTTTAAGTTCCTTAAGTCTCTCCTGATATGTTTTGTCCCTCAGACTTTTCACCATTTTTGTTTCCTTCTTTGGACACGTTCTGTTTTATCAATATTTTCTTGTAAGTGAAGTCTCCAGAACTGGACACAGTATTATAAAGGTCTAGCTAATGATCTATTTAGGGGAATTATGACCTCCTTCTCCCTGCTGATTACTCGTCTAATGATGCATCTTAGAGTTGTATTTGCTTTTCTCACTACATGGCCACACTGCCTAATCTATTCAATTAAAGGCCAAAACTGGCCTTACACTATACCAAAATTCACTCTGTGG